CAAAAATACAATTATATATGAATATTATTTAATTATCAATATTAATATTTATAATTAATATTTACATGAAATATACATACAAATAGGTGAATAATATCATTAAAATAATAAAACTGAGGTTAAATAAGGTTAGTTTAAATTAATTGACTTTGTTGGTGAATTTAACTTGTTTTCGTCATTCAGTAGAACAACAAAGGGACAAAGGTCTTGACGTTGTTCTTATTTAACCCAAATTTTCACCCCATTTAAGGTTTTCCAGGACACGGGGACATATCCAACCTTCCCGTGGCATTAGGTTAGTATTATTAACGTTAATGTAATGTAATAATACTCATTTGGTCGTTAAATAAGCGAAAATATGATAGGGTTTTATTTTATATTTCTGATAATTTATGTATCTTAACTAATAACTATGTAATAACTTTCTATATGTGATAATTTATTTATTTTAGTCAATAATAAGTCAAAATTTATGATATAAATACTTTTTTTAATTATTTAATTTTTTTTATTTCTCGACCCTATAGTGAATTTCAATCTTGATGACGTCATTAATAACTATAATTTATTGATGAAATTATATATAAAATAACATAATTCCCCAATATGATTCTATAATGGGATTTAAATTTTTTATTATAAATTTATCTAGTAATATCTTAGGTCAGCGACGCGAGTTAAACATTCACGGGATTAAAAATATTTATGGAAGAAAAATATTTATTACCTCAAGAATATTTGTGTGGAGGAATAGCATTATTTATTATTATTTTGGTAATATTGTCGTTTCAGTCATACGTCAATTTTTGGATTTTAATGTTAGGTTAGGCTGGGTTGGGTTAGGTAAGATTAGGTTAAGTTATGTTAGGTTACATTAGGGTTTTGATTGTTTTGGACAACTTTCTAATAGGGTAACGAACGAGACGATAATTTCACCATTATTTTTTTCCGTAGATGCGACTTGGACCTCTCCGACCCCTGTATACGCAGCCTCATAGGTATTAATTAGCATTTTTCAGCACCGACCGACCCCAAAGGTTAATCCGTGAAATGTATCCCAGGCAGCGACCGATGTTTACTTTCCATACGAACTTAACCTAACCTAAACGTAAACCTAACTTAACCTAATCTATCATAATTTATCGTAATCTTGGAAAAATTTTATTCCACCCAATTTCTTTTATTCTGGAAGTATAAGAAATAAGTTTTTTCCATAGATTAGTTCCAAGTTTACCTTCATTGTCTATATACATGGTGAACTGTATACTAAACTAACTGTAAAATTGAATGAATGAATAAATATCTAATTCTCTTAATTATTTTTCAGAAGGTTTGCATCGTAGCGTCGGAAAAACAAGATGGGACGAATATTCCTGGAACACATTGGTGGGATCCGACTGTTCTCTTGCGCCACGTGCTACACCATCCTGACCAATCGCACTGAGCTGATATCCACTCGCTTTACTGGAGCGACCGGCCGAGCGTTTCTCTTCAAGCGTGTGGTGAATCTAACGTACAGGTGGGTTAGGTTAGGTTCATTTAGGCCTGCGGTGTAATGGTCAGCATGCTCGCCTCACAAGCGTGTGGTTCAAGGTTCGATCCCCGGGCAGGGTGAGACTATGGGCAAGTTTCTTTACGCCATTTGCCTCTGTCTACTCAGCAGTTATTGGGAACCTGGATGTTAATTGATTTGTGGATCGTATTCCGGGGTAATGGTTAGCCAGTGCAGTTGGTGAGCTGTCCGGTCTTCTCGGATATACTGGGTCATGCAGCTCGTTAACTCAGGGTGTGGTTATTGTGTTGGCGACAGCTTGTACACCTTCAACACTGGGTCGTGCAGCTTGTCATCTCAGGGTGTGGTTGTTGTGTTGGTGACAGCTGCTACACCTTAAACAAATTTACACCTAGGTGGCCCTTGGGCCGGCCATTCTTGAACACAAGAGGTAACCATTATTGTTAGGTTAGGTGAGAAAAAAAGAGAGCCGATCCGTGGTAGTTGTTGTCTAGGGATCGATCTCTCGCTCTTTCTCTACCAGTAGTGGCGTCCCACAGGGTTCTGTTCTTTCACCAACTCTCTTCCTTCTTTTTATCAATGATTTACTTCACACAGTGACTAATTCTGTCCATTCTTACATGGATGATTCTACTCTTCACTTTTCTTCACATTTTCCCCTTCCTCCTAACTCTCAAACTAGATCTGTTTCTAGAACTGATATCATTACTTCTATCAACGCGGGTCTGTGCAGCGTCTCTGAATGGGGAGGTACAAACTTGGTTAAGTTCAATAGTAATAAAACTCGGTATTTACCAATTACACTTTTCAAAATAGAAGATCTCTCACCAATCACATTTCAGGACTCAATCATTCTGCCAAATTCTAAAACAGATATGCTAGGCCTCACCATTTCCTCTAATATGTCACTGAAGCCACACATCCTCAACATTGCTAAAGCTGCCTCCTGAAAGCTGGGAATACTGTACAGCTGCCGTAGCTACTTCACTCCTGAGCAGTTGGTTCAAGTATATAAGGTTTTCATTCGTCCTAACTTGGAGTACTGCTCTCATATCTGGGGTGGCTCTGTTGGATAGGGTGGAATCAAATGCATTTCGTCTTATTAACTCTCCCCCTTTAGTTGATAATTTTGCTTCACTCTCTCTCTTTTACAGGTACTTTAACGGGCAATGTTCGGTGGATTTGGCAGCCTGTATACCGCCGGCAAGGTCGTGGGCTCCTAACACTCGTCTTGCCCGCGGTGCCCACCGTTTCTCTGTGGATGTCGGTCACACGAGAATAACCCGTTATAGTACCTCCTTCTTTGCCTTCTTCTGTGTTTCCATACTCATACAATCCGTCTCTTCAAAAAGCCGGTTTCCCGTCATCTTCGCGGTGTAGATTAATATAACCTTTTCCTTTTCTATTTTTAATTTCTTTTTACTCTTATTTTTTCGCCCCCTAGGCCTCGGGTGAGCTGTTCCCCATAAAAATTTACGTACACACATTACCCAAGTATTAACCGTCGCCATCTCTCCACAGTGAGGTCCAGGATCGCGTCATGCTCACTGGCCGCCATATGGTAAGAGACGTTTCCTGTAAAAACTGCAGTGCAAAGTTGGGCTGGATCTACGAGTTTGCAACGGAGGAGAATCAAAGGTAATGTTTTTATTCTGCGGCGGAACCTTGATATAATTCATTAAATGGAGGTTTTATGTATAAAGGAACCTCGATATAATGGATTTTGATCTCTATATAGTTCGTTAAATGGAGGTTTTATGTATAAAGGAACCTCGATATAATGGATTTTGATCTCTATATAATTCGTTAAATGGAGGTTTCATATGTAAAGGAACCTCGATGTAATGGATTTTTCTTACACAATTTTCATATAATAATGATAATATAGTGGGTATGCTATAACGAATCTAATTGGTTCCAGAACCTCGTTCGTTATAGCATTCGTTCGTTATAGGATTAATCCGTTCCAGGCCCCCAAATACAACCACTTAACACTGAAACATTTCTGTGGAAAATGTAAAAAATACGGTACTTTATCTTACCTTAGTGTTGTTCAGCATACAGGACAGGAGGCAGAGGAGGAGGAGAGAATTATGGAGAAGAGGTGGAAGGAGAGGAGTCACCCTTCCTAGCCCTCTTTGGTGACTGTCTTACAGGCACTTTGTTTGTTTATTTATAATTTCTTTCTTAGTTTCAAGGGTTATTAGCTTTCTCACTCGCTTTTGACGATTCAGTGTTACAATTGTACACTTGTATAACAAAATAGTTATAAAAATAACACGAATTTCCACATCAAAAGACGAAATTTCAACAAGTTCAGTGGTGCATTGACTACACAATGAACCAATATGTTGCCTGACGCTCTTGTTGTGAGCAGCGGTACAACAATATTCGTGCGCCAGACGAAATAGTCCCGTATTCATCCGCATTCGTTGTAGGAGTTGCGTTCGTTAGCATTCTCAATTTTATAGGTAAAACCGTTCATTAGAGGAATATTCGTAGTAGAATCCGTTCGTTATAGCATACCCCACTGTAATAATAATAATAATAATAACAATTAAATTGACACACAGCTTTACCAATTTGATAGGCATGTATATAAACTATGCAGGTATACATTACAGCATGTATATCGATCAAAGTAGGTATACAGTACACATAGGTTGCAGGAGTATACATTTTCCCATGTACCGAGACAGTGTAAGCAAACAACAAGGGTAAACAGAAAGGTGATTGGATAAAGAACGTGGTTGAAGGTCTCGGGTGATTATTTCTAGAAGGTTCCTTGGTGTAGGGTTACTCTTGGGATTTAAACATTATTGTCTACATGAGTATTAGTGAAAGCTTGATTAATTTGTAGCATGTACCAGAATAATGTTCCTGATTGCACCCTGCCACCCTCCCTGACTGACTGCATCCTCCCTGACTGCACCCTGCCACCCTCCCTGACTGCACCCTGACTGCACCCTCCCCTGACTGCACCCTGACTGCACCCTCCCCTGACTGCATCCTCCCTGCACTGCTGACTGACTGCCACCCTCCCTGACTGACTGCATCCTCCCTGCTGACTGCACCCTGCCTCCCTTCCTGACTGCCTGCACTGCCCTCCTTCCTGACTGCACCCTCCCTCCCTGACTGACTGCACCCTGCCTCCCTCCCATGACTGCACCCTGCTCTCCCTCCCTGACTGACTGCAGCCTGCCTCCCTCCTGACTGACTGCAGCCTGCCTCCTCCCATGACTGCACCCTGCCTCCTGACTGACTGCACCTGCTGCACCCTGCCTCCTTCCTGACTGCCTGCACCCTGCCTCCCTTCCTGACTGCACCCTCCCTCCCTGACTGACTGCAGCCTGCCTCCCTCCCTGACTGCACCCTGCCTCCCTCCCTGACTGCTGTAAGTGTGATTCAGCCTTAGTTGCTTCACTCGGATCAGTTCAGTGATTGGTAGAAGTTGGTGATCAAATTATCTTGTCTTGGTTTAATCCGTTGTAGCTTGGATTTTAGCTTCAGTGTTAAGACAGAGTACAGTACACCTGGATAATTTGCGGATTTTTATATTCGCGGTCTTCTATTATTCGCGGATGACGCCCTGGATATAGCCAAGAATGTCTGGGGGTAGTTTTAAAGTTGATGGCATTTTCGTGGCCGGGACAGAGAGCCATTCGTTCTAGAGACAGCAATTTCCTTTACCTGTATTGTTTATATGACACACACACACACACACACACACACACACACACACACATACACACACACACACACACACACACACACACACACACACATACACATAAATAATAAGGGGAAATCCTCGCACAAATAATCATAAACAAATGTATTAAAGTTGTTGAGTCTACCCTCAAGTCTACTCTGTGCTTTATTAGGTTATGTTATGTTAGTTTAGGGTGAGTTAGATTAGGTTAATAATAATAATAATAATTAACGGTTTATTGAAAGAGCTTGGCAGCCAGAAGGCTGAAAATATACAGTTATATAATTGGGGAATGGGTTTCGAATTACAAATAATATACAAATAACATCAGTGATATAAATAAGATATATAATAACTAGATGGGGAAAAGCTCAAACTACAGTTCATTTCAACATAGTGACAGTGCAAGGAGTAGTGTTTACTGGGAGTGAATACACTGGTTTATTACAAGTTATTGATAATTTTTACAACGGTTGGGACTGGGCTGTTCTTATAGCGATCAGTTCGTGCACGTATGGGCTGGATGCGGTTGTGGTGTCGAACAGCAATTCTCGGGCTAGGGATCTCAGGTGGTAGTAGGAGCCAGTGTCGAGGATGGTGCAGAAGCTTCTTACCAAATTTGCAGATGAGGTCGTGGTGATGGTCAGTGAGAGCTGAGAGGGTCAGTGTGTTGAGCATTTCTTGATATGTGGAGTAGGAAGGGGAGAGAATAATCTTGCATGCCCTCTTTTGCACTTTTTCTAGTTGTTTACATTATGTGGCATTTAGGGAGGAAGACCAGGTAAGGGAGGCATAGGTGAGCTTGGGAAGTATGAATGTTGAGTAAACACTGAGGAGCTCGGGTGCAGGAACTCCGAGGGACTTGAGTCGGTGGAGGAGGTGGAGACGGAAACTGGAGGATTTGACAACTTCACTGACGTGTGGTTTCCAATTTAGTTTGTTGTCTATGGTGACGCGGAGGAGCTTAGTGGAATCTACAACCTGGAGTGTGTTGGGGCCTAAAGTAATGGAAGGAGGTGGGACAATATCGGAGGAGAGGTTGATGTGCATAACCATGGTCTTGGTATGGTTGATGGTGATGTGGTTGTTGGTGGCCCAGTTTTGGAGACTGTTCAATAAATCCTGAAGGGCAGTATAGTCGGGAGCAGAATTGTTGACGCTGATCCCAATAGTGGAGTCGTTAGGTTAGGGTACGTCAGGTTAGGGTGTGTTAGGTTAGGGTACGTCAGGTTAGGGTGTGTCAGGTTAGGGTACGTCAGGTTAGGGTGTGTTAAGTTAGGGTACGTCAGGTTAGGGTGTGTTAAGTTAGGGTACGTCAAGTTAAGGTACGTCAGGTTAGGGTACAGTTAATATCTCTCTCTACACCTCACTATAGTAGTGCCAAACATAGTCAACACACATAACATCCCCACATCTCTTTTAAGGTACAAGGAAGGACGGGTGATCTTGGAACGCGCCCTCGTGACAGAGACCGACGGATTCGAGGAACACCTGGGCGACGACTAAGGCATTCGTGACGCGTCCTTCTCGACACCGACGTGATCACGAACGCGGATACACGACCAAGGGAATGGGGAGACTGTATCCGTGTGAGAGCCGACGAGACTACCCCCCACCCCCACCCCATAACTCCCGCCTGTTTTAAAAGATTATTTGCCTTGCATGATTTTCATTTGTTTGGTTTTTTCTCTACCAAGTTATTGTGTTTTAAGTCGATGTTCTTATTTATTTAAATCGAAAAGGCGAAGGTAAAATAAAAAACCCATTCTAGACCAGTTTATTTAACACGATCTCAGATAGTCGTTAGTCTGTCTGTCCGTGGTGTTTACGTGTCCTTGTTATGCTGTCAATTAGTCGGGTCTTTTAAGTTTTAATGCGAGTTTTGTCCAGAAATCTTCAGTGAGGCACAAACTCATTTTTCCTGTGATATATTTGAATATGATGGTAGTTTAGTCTGTGTGTGTGTGTGTCAAATGAGTTGATCTTGTAGGCCCTGATATAACCTAACCTAACTCAACCCAGTAAAGTCCAAAGAGAATTCAGTGCCTCTTAGGGAAAATGTAACCGCTTCCTTCCAGCCTCGGGGTACCTAAGAGAGAGCAACCCCCCCCAACCCCCTCCCAAAAAATCACCTCGTTTGACCTGTCACCACCAAACAATCATAACCACCTTTTGTAATAGATTCAAGGCATTGGTCAAGTGGTGTGTTAAGGTCTATTATGTGTAAGCAATTCAGCAGGTGATTTGGTCGTTGGATAGTTATAGGTCCCAGTTTTGATAGGGACTCGATCTAACCTAACCTAACGTTACCTAACTTAACCTGAGCTTAACCAAAACCCCAATGCAACTCAATCCACTCCCCCTCCCTCTAACCCCCCTCCCCCCCCCTAACCCACCTAACCTAAAGCTGTAGGGTTAGGTTAGGTTAAGGCTGGGATCTGTTTGACCGACCTCCAGTGATGTTGTACAATGAGCTTTAATTCATTCTCTCTCTCTCTCTCTCTCTGTAATAAAAAGGACTGGTATTTCTCTCTCTCTCTCTGTAATAAAAAGGACTGGTATTTCTCTCTCTCTCTCTCTCTCTGTGTAAAAAAGGACTGGTATTTCTCTCTCTCTCTCTGTAATAAAAGGACTGAGTATTTCTCTCTCTCTCTCTCTCTCTGTAATAAAAAGGACTGGTATTTCTCTCTCTCTCTCTCTCTCTCTCTCTCTCTCTCTCTCTCTCTCTCTCTCTCTCTCTCTCTCTCTGTAATAAATAGGACTCTGGTATTTTTTGAACTTCTGAGTACAATACGTCAGTTACTTTTGAGTACGATAAGTCAGTTGGTATAAGGTATTAGGGACTCTCTGAAGTATAAGGGTTTGTATTAGTCTCTAGTATAAGGATGTATATGATGTATTTTGTATTTATCTGTCATGGGTTCAACAGTGGCGGATGCGAGGCTAGTCTATGAGTCGTATAATTCCTGTACCTATGACCCCCCATGGCTGTACTATTGCCCGAAGGTTTATTATCATTGGTTCTTATCAGCGGTTGAAGTCACCCTACCCCTCCTCCCCCCTCTACCCTCATATGAGTCACAAAATACAAGAACACAAGGAACACAAAATGGCTATTAATGCTACCCGTCGCTTAGGGGTAAAACGACATAAATTTACGCTCCGTTTATATTCCAAATCGACGTCGTAAAAAAAACCCGACTGGATCTTTTATTTTGACATCTCGTACCGACGGATATGGACGCCACCGATCCGCCACTGTTGAAGTACGTAGACTCGACGGATCTTGGGGTTACATGTCAATAACAAACTGTATACAGATTTAATAAAAGATGCTGTATTAGGTTACCTTTGTTAATATTTTTTCATCAGCGCCTTGTGGGGCGGCGGGGTGAGTGTTCGTAGTACTAAAGTAACATAAACCGCCTCGACTAGTGGGGACAATGTTGAGGCGTTTACCCATAACTCGGTATAATGGTATTTATAAACACTCTTGAGGACTGTAGATTATAACCGTTTACCACAGTTAATAAAGTCACTAGTTTATTATTTACCACACAGTTAGTTAATAAAGTCACTAGTTTATTATTTACCACACAGTTAGTTAATAAAGTCACTAGTTTATTGTTTACCACACTGTTGGTTAATAAAGTCACTGTATTTAGTAGTTCAGACCAAAAGTGCCCCATTGATATACCATCCCAAGTTTACCTTCACGAACAAATCTTTGTGGAAAAAACAATTGGGGGACATTATTTACTTCCTGAATCAATAATAAATGGTACTGAAACATGTGTGTCTCAGGCCAACAGGACATGATAGTGAGAGGTACTCAAACACTCTTCTCATGTGTGTCTCAGGCCAACAGGACATGATAGTGAGAGGTACTCAAACACTCTTCTCATGTGTGTCTCAGGCCAACAGGACATGATAGTGAGAGGTACTCAAACACTCTTCTCATGTGTGTCTCAGGCCAACAGGACATGATAGTGAGAGGTACTCAAACACTCTTCTCATGTGTGTCTCAGGCCAACAGGACATGATAGTGAGAGGTACTCAAACACTCTTCTCATGTGTGTCTCAGGCCAACAGGACATGATAGTGTGAGGTACTCAAACACTCTTCTCATGTGTGTCTCAGGCCAACAGGACATGATAGTGAGAGGTACTCAGACACTCTTCTCATGTGTGTCTCAGGCCAACAGGACATGATAGTGAGAGGTACTCAGACACTCTTCTCATGTGTGTCTCAGGCCAACAGGACATGATAGTGAGAGGTACTCAAACACTCTTCTCATGTGTGTCTCAGGCCAACAGGACATGATAGTGAGAGGTACTCAAACACTCTTCTCATGTGTGTCTCAGGCCAACAGGACATGATAGTGAGAGGTACTCAAACACTCTTCTCATGTGTGTCTCAGGCCAACAGGACATGATAGTGAGAGGTACTCAAACACTCTTCTCATGTGTGTCTCAGGCCAACAGGACATGATAGTGAGAGGTACTCAAACACTCTTCTCAAGTGTGTCTCAGGCCAACAGGACATGATAGTGAGAGGTACTCAAACACTCTTCTCATGTGTGTCTCAGGCCAACAGGACATGATAGTGAGAGGTACTCAAACACTCTTCTCAAGTGTGTCTCAGGCCAACAGGACATGATAGTGAGAGGTACTCAAACACTCTTCTCATGTGTGTCTCAGGCCAACAGGACATGATAGTGAGAGGTACTCAAACACTCTTCTCATGTGTGTCTCAGGCCAACAGGACATGATAGTGAGAGGTACTCAAACACTCTTCTCATGTGTGTCTCAGGCCAACAGGACATGATAGTGAGAGGTACTCAAACACTCTTCTCATGTGTGTCTCAGGCCAACAGGACATGATAGTGAGAGGTACTCAAACACTCTTCTCATGTGTGTCTCAGGCCAACAGGACATGATAGTGGGAGGTACTCAAACACTCTTCTCATGTGTGTCTCAGGCCAACAGGACATGATATTGAGAGGTACTCAAACACTCTTCTCATGTGTGTCTCAGGCCAACAGGACATGATAGTGAGAGGTACTCAAACACTCTTCTCATGTGTGTCTCAGGCCAACAGGACATGATAGTGAGAGGTACTCAAACACTCTTCTCATGTGTGTCTCAGGCCAACAGGACATGATAGTGAGAGGTACTCAAACACTCTTCTCATGTGTGTCTCAGGCCAACAGGACATGATAGTGAGAGGTACTCAAACACTCTTCTCATGTGTGTCTCAGGCCAACAGGACATGATAGTGAGAGGTACTCAGACACTCTTCTCATGTGTGTCTCAGGCCAACAGGACATGATAGTGAGAGGTACTCAAACACTCTTCTCATGTGTGTCTCAGGCCAACAGGACATGATAGTGAGAGGTACTCAAACACTCTTCTCATGTGTGTCTCAGGCCAACAGGACATGATAGTGAGAGGTACTCAAACACTCTTCTCATGTGTGTCTCAGGCCAACAGGACATGATAGTGAGAGGTACTCAAACACTCTTCTCATGTGTGTCTCAGGCCAACAGGACATGATAGTGAGAGGTACTCATCATTCAAGAACGATTAAATATTAATAAGATAATTATTATTTAATCATTATTAACTTTATGTATTATATGTAATATTTTTTTAATAAATATTGTTCAATAATTGTTTAATTTGAGAGCAATAATTACTAATGATCTTAATATTTAATTATATAGTAATATTGCGGGTTTATTATGTCATGATAACTTATATATTGTATTATAATATTAATAAATTATTAAAAAAGGTATTTTAAATAACCAAATAAATAAATATATATATATATTTTGTTTTATTTTTTTTATTTTTTTTGGTTCATTTGTAAATGCTATGAAATTCTTCGGGTCTCCTTCTACTGACTTAAGTTTAGTTTAACATTAATATATTACTATGAATGGGAATTTATTCAATAATTAAACATTAAAATTAATGTATAATTTATTTATACTATGTAATATTGATTATTACAATACATTTATTAAAGTAATAAAAATAAAATATTGTAATTACTGAAAGATACGAGAGAGAGAATCGGACAAGTTGTAGCAGATCAACAACAACTAACGTGGTCGTCTGGTTTATTATTGTTAGTAAATGTTAATTTGTGGGCCTTCCTCCCTCCCTCCTGGTGAGTTAACATTATGTATGGCTGTGTTAAGGTAATAACTAAGACACAGTACAACTAACGTGGCCGTCTGGTTTATTATTGTTAGTAAATGTTAATTTGTGGGCCTTCCTCCCTCCCTCCTGGTAAGTTAACATTATGTATGGCTGTGTTAAGGTAATAACTAAGACACAGTACAACTAACGTGGCCGTCTGGTTTATTATTGTTAGTAAATGTTAATTTGTGGGCCTTCCTCCTCCCTCCTGGTAAGTTAACATTATGTATGGCTGTGTTAAGGTAATAACTAAGACACAGTACAACTAACGTGGTCGTCTGGTTTATTATTGTTAGTAAATGTTAATTTGTGGGCCTTCCTCCCTCCCTCCTGGTAAGTTAACATTATGTATGGCTGTGTTAAGGTAATAACTAAGACACAGTACAACTAACGTGGTCGTCTGGTATATTATTGTTAGTAAATGTTAATTTGTGGGCCTTCCTCCCTCCCTCCTGGTGAGTTAACATTATGTATGGCTGTGTTAAGGTAATAACTAAGACACAGTACAACTAACGTGGCCGTCTGGTTTATTATTGTTAGTAAATGTTAATTTGTGGGCCTTCCTTCCTCCCTCCTGGTGAGTTAACATTATGTATGGCTGTGTTAAGGTAATAACTAAGACACAGTACAACTAACGTGGCCGTCTGGTTTATTATTGTTAGTAAATGTTAATTTGTGGGCCTTCCTTCCTCCCTCCTGGTGAGTTAACATTATGTATGGCTGTGTTAAGGTAATAACTAAGACACAGTACACCTAACGTGGTCGTCTGGTTTATTATTGTTAGTAAATGTTAATTTGTGGGCCTTCCTCCCTCCCTCCTGGTAAGTTAACATTATGTATGGCTGTGTTAAGGTAATAACTAAGACTCAGTACAACTAACGTGGTCGTCTGGTTTATTATTGTTAGTAAATGTTAATTTGTGGGCCTTCCTCCCTCCCTCCTGGTGAGTTAACATTATGTATGGCTGTGTTAAGGTAATAACTAAGACTCAGTACAACTAACGTGGCCGTCTGGTTTATTATTGTTAGTAAATGTTAATTTGTGGGCCTTCCTCCCTCCCTCCTGG